GGGGGGGGGGGGGGTTGGCGCCTCGTGCAGCACTTTGAGCACTGCGATGTGCATGAAGGACGAGCGGACGACGCGCGACCAGTGGCACGCGAGGGTGCCGAAGAGCGAGTCGTGCAGCCAGGAGAGCACCTGCGATGAGGAGCACAATCACACGAGTCCGCGACACGGCGTGACAGTCAGCGAGGCGTGCGGCGAGGAGAGAGCTTCAACGCACGCGCTCCTCCGCGAGCCTGACCTCCCCATATCTCCCCATATCTCCCCGCATCTCGCATCTCAACGCGCCGCTCCTCGGCGAGCCGGTCGAGGCTGGAAGTGTCTCGGAAGTGTCTCGGAAGTGTCTAGGAAGTGTCTCGGAAGTGTCTAGGAAGTGTCTAGGAGAGGACCTCAATCCGCCGCTCCTCGGCGAGCCGGTCGAGGTGGTTGTACCTGGAGGAGAGGAGGGAGGCGGTCAGTGGACGGGAAGGCCACGCGCCGCGAGGCTGGTCGAGGCGGCGGCACAAGAAGATGAGCGAGCAACCAACCACCTTGAAGTGCTGCGACGCGAGCAAATACTGGATCTGCTGCAGGATGAGGTCGTACGAGTGCGCCTAGCCTCAGGCCGACCTCGGCTCAGCCCCCAGCCGACCGTCGCAGAAGAGGACGGGGCGCGCGAGTCGCGCCTCGGCCGCGGCGTTGTCTCGCAGAGCCGCGGAGGGCCCCTCGCGCCACCCCTCCCTCCAGAAGGAGAGCCCCCCCGGCTGCGAGCCCACGCCCGCGCGGCAGCCGGCCGGGGTGCGAGGCCGGTGCTCCCCCGACGCGCCGGACCTAGGCAAGAGAGGGGGGGCAAGCCCGTCACAACAGAGGCGTGTGAAGAGGCGGCACCCCCCCCCCCCCCCCCCCGACGCGCACGGCACCCCGGTAAGGAGGGCTGCTCGTCGGTGGCGGCGACCGTCATCAGGTCGGACAGCTGATGCAGCGCGCCTGCAGGCCGGCTCGGGGGAGGGGGGAGGGTGAGGGAGGTCCTCCAAGTCGGAGGGCTGCTGCAGCGCGCCGAGCACGCGGCGGAGGGACGTTGTCCCCGCCGCAGACACGATGATGCGAGCGAAGACCTGCGTGAGCGGCCGGTTCTCCTGCAGGAGGCTCGAGGAGGGCTCAGGGCAACGCTCAGGGGAGGTTGAGGAGCGCCCTGCGTGAGCGGCTGGCTCTCCTGCACGAGCGCGGCGAGGCACGACCGCATCGACTCTGGCCACAAGTGGACCGGCCGCTGCCGCATCTCGAGCAGGAAGGCCTTGATGAGCACCGCGTGGCCCGGCACGACGCGCCAGTTGGTCGACTCGTCCGGCTGCGTGCCCATCGCCGCGGGCGCGTGTCTCGTCCAATGCTCGAGCAGCAGGAAGAAGCAGTGGCCGCGCTTGCGCAGCCGCTCGCGCCAGTACCGCCCCCCGAGCGCGCGCTCGACCACCGCGGGCGGCACCGCGTTGGCCATGCCTTGGGAGAGCCACAGCGCGGCCCACGCGTCGAGCGGCGGGTCCGCCTCGCGCACCGCGCCGCCGCGCTCCCTCCTCCCGCGGGGGGTGCCCCCCGACGCGAACACGGCGCGCGTGTCTCTCGCCGAGGAGCGGGACGACGACCAGCTGGAGCGGCCCCGCCCGCCGGGGGGGGAGGCGTCGCCGGGCTCGGGCGCGGCGTTCCCCTCCCGCAGCGCCGCCCGCTGCAGCGACCAGGGCAGGTTCCACTCGCGCACGTGCTTGAAGCGGTTCTCGCCCGGAGGCAGGATGGCGCCGAGAAGCACCTGACGGGGTCACCCGTCCCTCCTCAGTGGCTAGTCCTGCCGCCTTGCGGGCGGGAGTGCGCCCGAGCGGCACCGGCCGCAGCAGCGGCAGCCGGAAGAAGGCGATCGAGAGCGCGTGCGAGCAGAAGACGCGCACCTCGGACGGCGCCGCCTTGCGGTTGAGCTTTGAGACGACGTAGCCGACCGTCTGCCACAGCACGTGCGCGTACTTCTCGAGCAGCAAGGCGGGGGCGCCGAGCAGCGCCGACGGCCCCAGCTCGCCGCGCTCCATCAGCGGCGTGAGGGTGGCGAAGAGGGCGGGCTGGTGCCGGTAGGGAAGGTGCTCGGCCTGCGAGAGGAGGTACGACCACAGCCGCAGCAGCAGCAGCTGCGTCCACGCCAGCCCCTCCGGCGACGGGTAGAAGAAGGAGAGCACCGACTCCTTGTGCGAGGAGCAGAGCAGCAGCTGCAGCCGAGAGCAGAGGATCGCCAGCCGACGGGCGCACATCTCGCCGCTGCCCGGCGGCCACCCGCCTCCCTCGCCGCCGATGCCGCCGCCGCCGCCGCCGCCGCCGCCGCCGCCGCCGCCCGCGCCGGAGGTCGGATCGGCGACGTCTCGGGAATGCCTCGGTAGTGTCTCGGAAGTGTCGCCGGCCGACACGGCGCAAAGGGAGGAGGCGGCCACCGCCGCGGCCGGCGGGAGGAGGGGTGCCGCGTGCTCGAGCTCCTAAGGGCTGATTGCTCCTCATGAGTGACTCGATTGAGTCGAGGAGGGGGAGGCAAGCGCTCGGGCTCCCTCCCCACAGCGAGCGGGCCGAGGGGCGACCGCTGCGCGCTGTACGCGTCGGTGGCGGGGCCGACCTAGGATGAGTACGAGCTACGCACTGCTACTCATGCTCACTGCTACTTCATTCACAGTCGGCTGGCGGGCCCGCACCCCGTACGCGTCCGTCGCGCGGCCGGCGGCGGCGGAAGTGTGCAGCTCGAGGATCACCTGCGGGTGCGTACGCTTCACAATGAGGGGCTGATCCTCAAGCGGCGGTGCGTGCGGCTTCGAGGACCTGCTTGAGCCCGTGCGTCAGCGCGAGCAGCGCCTCCACCTGCCGGGGGGGGGGGGGGGAGGACGGAGGAGCCAGTCAGCGAACGCAGCGGCACTGGTGAGCGGGATGGTGAGCTGCCGGACACTCGCCATCCCCTAGCTGCCGGAGGGAGGCCGTGCATCTCCTCACTCGGCCACATCTCGCCCATACTCTTCACCTGCCGAGGGAGGTCGGTCCCGCGCGGCGGCGGCCGGAACTGATCCCCGCCGCCGTCCCTCCCGTCCGCGCCGCCGCCTCCCTCGGCGTCGAGGGACTCGCCGCCGTTCAACTCGAGGGAACGCTCGACCTTGGCGGCGCCGTTCCCCCGCGCGGCGCTCGCCGCAGTCGAGTCGAAAGCGACCGGCCCGACTGGCAAGATGCCTGGGACCAACATCGACTGCTCTCACTAGCTCGTACTAGAGGGCGGCGGGCCCGGCGGGCAAGGTGCCATGCTCCGTGTAGAAGCCACCCGCCAGCTGCACGACTCGCGGTCCGTTGAGCACAACCACGCAGCCGGCGAGGCGGCCCACCTGAGGGGACAGTTCCGAGAAGGTTCCGGGCAACCTCCGAGCCGCGACCACACCCGCCGGCGAGCTTTCCCACCCGCTGCCCGTTCTTCCACAGGACTTCGTCAAACTCGGCGGTCGCGCGCCTGTTCACAGGAGCGGCTGGTCGGCCGGAGGAGAGAAGGAAGCCCCCCCCTCCCGCCCCCACTCGCGCGCCGCTCGTCGCCCGGCGTGTACACCTTTGTGATCGGCAGCCACACCTCGCCTCGCAGCCTCTCCTCCCTCTCCCCGCCCCCGCCCCCTCCGCCGCCTTCGCCGCTCAGGGCGGAGGAGGCGGAGGAGGACGAGGCGCCCACCGAAGCCGCGTACGAGCCCGGAGAGCGGAGGTGGGACGACGGGTCGCCTACTCCGTCGTCGGCTCAGCGGTCAGTGACCCAACATCGAGCCGAGCAATCCGACGCGGGAGGGTCGGTCGCCGCGAGGGGCGAGGCTCGGCGAGAGCGGCGCGGCGGCGGCGGCGCCACTGGCGGCTTGGCGGCGGCCGGCGACGCGCACGACGAGATGGAGCGACTCCTAGTCATTAGTAGGTCGTCGCAGTGAGTGAATGAGTGGCGTCCGGCGACGCGCACCGTCGAGACGGCGCGGCTCCTGGGCGAAGGCGGCGGCGGACGCCTCCGCCTCGATGGCGGGCCGGTGCGGCAGCGGCGACGTGTCGTACGAGATCTGGACCTGGGCGCCGTCGAGGAGCCGCAGCGAGCCTGAGAGGGGGCAGCAGAGAGGTGTAGCACAGGACGGCAGCGAGGCGCCCGGCGAGGAGCCGCAGCGAGCCTGCGTCGAAGTCGATTCGCATCGGCTCGCACTCGTCGCTCTCCATGGTGAGGGCCGCCTGTTCATGACTGACTGCTGATGAGCCCTGAGGCTCGCACGCGTCGCTCTCCATGGCGAGGGCCGCCGAGAGCGAGAAGGCCCGCTCGCGGTGCGCGGCCTCCTGAGACGCGACCGAGGTGTGCCGCTGCAGCGAGCGCATCGTCGCTTTCGCCCACGGCACCGTCACGGCGAGCACGCACTTTTGGATCATCCGAACCGTGAAGACGAGCCGGCCACGCGGCGCGCCGGCAGCGTCGAGGACGGGCAAGTCGTACCTAGTTCATGATTTCGTTCGCTCGTGCGCCATGAGTCGACAGCAAGTGCGGCGTCGAGGACGGGCAGATCGTACTTGATCGGCCCCGACGCGACCTCGCTCAGCCGCACCTCGCACGCGCCCAAGTCGGAGTCGGGCAGCACGCCCAGCCTACCACCAATGAGCCCGTCGCTGCTGGCAGCAGCCACTCGCTGCCGGCGGCAGGCAGCAGCCCCCGCCTCGGGTGGCGCAGCGAGAGCCGCACCACTCTCGTGGCGAGCTGCGCCGCAGAAGCAGAGTACGAGAAGTGTGCCCCGGACCCCCACCGCGGGGACGCCGCCTCGCCATGCCCCGACGCCGTCTCAAACGAGACCGGCCGCTGCGTCAGCCTCGTGCCGGACGGCCCCTCCTCGCCCCAGTGCCTGCCCGCCCCCTCCTCCGCCCGCCCACTCTCCCCGCCGAGCAAGCCGCTCACGCCGCCGCTCACGCCGCCGCCGCCCTCGCGCCCTCCTGACCCGAGGGGGCGCCGATCGCAACCAGTGCTTCGCGAGGGCCCACCTCCCCCTCCACCACCACCTCCTCCTCCGCCCCCCCCTCCTCCTCCGCCTCCTCTGCCGCTGTGCCCGTTGTCTCCTCCGCCCTCCGGCTGGTCGAGCGCGAGGGGGGGCAGCGCCTGCACGTCGGACGGGCGCGGAGCGAGCGGCGGCACGCCTATTGCGAACAGGACTCGACCGCTTCGATGCCCTCGCCGTGGTCTGCAGGAAGGCGTCGGGCGGCGGCTCGCCCCAGGCGACGGACACGCGCGGCGCGGCGGCGAGGGCGGGCGGCGGCGGCAAGTTGCGCGCTTTCTGGACCGAGACGAGCACCTCGAAGTGGAGCTCGACCTATGCGGGCAGCTCCTCCCTCTTCACCCACCCGTCCTCAACGAGGAGAGCACCTCGAGGGGGATCGCGACGTCGGCATCCGAGTCGGCCGGCGGGGCGTGCGAGCCGCTGTCGGAGCCGATCGAGTGGCTGTCCGAGGCGCCAGAGGCGGAAGCGCCATCTGGCTGGCGCGAGGCTTCGCCCGGCCTCTCGCCCTGCCCAACGCCCATCCCCTCCCGCTCACTCGCTCTCCACGCCGCTGCCGACGAGGTGACCGCCCGCTCGCCATCCGGCCCACTGGGGGGGGCAGCGCTGAAGGCGGGGGAGGAGGACGCCCGCACCTGGGGCAGGCTCCGAGCAGGGTCAGGGCAGGCTCCGAGCAGGGTCAGGGAAGGCTCCGTGTCGAGAGCGTGCGAGCCAAGCGCAGCGACTGTCGAGCGTCCTCTGGCACGTCTGGTGATATCCGCGTGTCTCTGTGCCAGCGTGTCTGTGGGCCTTGTCTCTCTTCTCTGTCGGTCTCTAGTCGCGCCTTTGGCACCATCACCGCCGAGGCGGCCGAGGGCGGCAGGCGGGCGGAGGACGAGCCGGCGGCGGCATGCGCGACAGAGGAGGGCGGCAGCGGCGCAAGTGGCGGCACCGCCGGCGGAAGCGGCACGACCGGCGCCAGCGGCGTGCGGTTTGCAGCCGCTCGCGGTATCAGCGGAGTGCCGGGTGCGGAGGTAGAGATGGAGTGGGTGCGTGTCCGAGGCAGCTGGCAGGGGCGCGCGTCGAGGACAGAGCCCGAGAGCTCGCTCGCTGCCGCCGCCGCAGGCTCCGCCGGCAGCTGCCGCGTGACGTGCTGCGACAGCGCCGCCGCCAGCGACTCGGCTGCGGCCGCCGACGGCGCGACCACGGTGAGGAGCCGGACCCAGCCGGCGGCGCCACACGGGCCGGCGAGGCGGAGGGCGACGTCCGCGGCGCCGCGCCGTTCGACGCCAAGCACGTCGGCCAGCGGCCACGTATTTGTCGTCCGGCCCGACGCAGGCTCGAGGGTGAGCAGCCAGCCGTCGACCACCACAAGCGCCCGCTCATAGCAGCCGCGCCACGAGCGCTTGAGGATGCGCCAGCCGACGGGAAGCGGTCCGGGCCGTGCCATGGACGCCGGCGTCCATGGCAGAGCCGGCTCGTCAGCACAGCTCATTGGGAGCAGCTCAGCGCCACGAGGCCGTCGCGGCGGTCGCGAGTGCCATCGTGTCGTCAAGTGTCGCAGCGGTGCTACGAATGTCTGCACAGGTTCCTATCTTCGCATCGCCCTCCCGGATTTTCTTTTTTCAGTGTATGTGGCTCTGTCGTGCATTCTTTTACCTAAAAGAAAGAAAAATCCAAGGTTCGCCGGCAAACATTCTCCGACTGCTATCACGCTGTCTCGTCTCCGGCACTAGCGACGAAACGATGGCCAGCTCTAAGCGCGGCGAGCGGCGCTCGCTCCTGTGCTTCCTCCGCCGCCTGCTTCCACGGGGCCCGCGCGCTCGTCCCCGTTTTCAACGCTCCTGGACGCCCGACTACACTGCAAAGGCGGGTGGCGAGGCCATCCCGTACGTCCAAGGCGAATCGAGCAGTGCTGGTACGTCGAAAGCCAATCGAGCGGCGCTGGTACGAAACGGGTGGGTGCGCTTTGAGAACGCCCCGCCCTTCGCTGGCCGAGTTCTCAGTGTCCACGGAGCGATGGTGTATCGCGAGCTGGCTTGCGCCTAGAATCGACCTTAAGCCTGGACGTCGATGTCTGCCTCGTTGTGTGCCCTTGTCTATTGCCGGTACGCCGTCTCGGGCTCCCTCCTCCCCAGGTCCTCCGTGTGTGTCTGCATGTATTGACGTGCCAGTACTCCTCGCGCGCCCTTTTTTTGCCTCTACCGGAATGTACAAAGTGTGAAAGATGTACGGCTCTTTGCGTTCCCGCTCTCTACAAAAGTGAATCGTGCAAGTAGCAACACACCGCTACACAGCAGCGGCCAGGGCGCAGGGGTGAGGGAGGGGAGGAGCAGGAGGATGGAGGTGGGTGAGACCTCAGCAGATCTGCTCGCACGCCCGGAGGATGGCCGCCTCGTCGATCTCGTACCTCTCGTACAGCTCGAGCACATCGCCTGTCTGCCCAAACTCCGTCACGCCCAGTGGGGTCACCGGGTGGCCGTGAACGCCTCCGAGCCAGGAGAGGGCGGACCTATACACGCGCACACGCATCACGGTTTTCGCACAGGGCCGTTTCGCGCTGCGCGGTGGGGGTAGGGGTGCGGACGGGTGTCCGTCGAGGACCGTCACCAGCCGAGCGCCGCGGGGGATGCCGCCCAGCAGCTCCGTGACGTAGCTGCCGCCTCTTCGCTCCTTCCACTCGTTGGTGAGGCGGTCGTAGGAGGTGACCTGCAGCAGCGCCGCCGACGCGCCGAGCGAGCGCTGTGCGGCGATCGCCTCCGGCGCGACGACGCCGCTGAAGGCGATGACCACCTTCGTCGCTGCGTGCGGCGGCACGTGCCAGTAGCCTCCGCGGACGATGGCGTCGTCGAGGGCCGAGTCCGCGGCAAGGTCTCGCGGCATCTGCTCGACGGCGCGCGTGGAGAGGCGCAGGTAGACCGCGCCGCCGTCCTCCGCCTGCATATGCTCAAAGCCCGCGCGCATCACTGCCTTGACCTCGTCGGCAAAGGCCGGCTCGTACGTGAGCAGGTTGGGCACCGAGGTGCCGATGAGCGGAGTGCCGATCGACTGGTGGGCACCGCCCTCGGGCGCGAGGGTGAGGCCCGACGGCGTTCCCACGAGCATGAAACGCGACCGCATGTAAGTGCCATAAATCAGAGAGTCAAGCGCCCTCGCGACAAAGGGGTCGTAGAGCGTGCCGACGGGGAAGAGGCGGTGGCCAAAGAGCTCCGCCGACAGCCCGGCAGCGGCCATGCACAGCAGCAGGTTGTTCTCGGCGATGCCCAGCTCGATGTGCTGCCCGCGGGCTGACTTCCCCCAGTTGTTCAGGGACGCAACGCCCGGCGCACGCGCCGCGCGGAAGTTGTCCGGCTCCGAGTCTCCCGAAGTGAAGATGCCACGCTTGTTGACAAAGCCGGAGAGCGAGGTGGTGGTGGTCACGTCCGGTGCCATGGTGAGCAGCCGGCCGGCAAAGGCGCTGTCCCCGCGTGCAAGCTCGAGCATGACTGCGCCAAAGGCGGTCTGTGAAGAGACGGGCTTGGCATTCGCCCCGCCGACCGACGGTGCAAGATCTGCCGGGATGCACACGGGTCCGGGCGAGTGCCGCCGCGTCGGCACCGAGTTGATCGGCGCCGCGGCGACGAGCGCGCGCGCCTCGTCGGGAAGCCCATCGAATGGCTCCCACTGGTTGGCTTCGCTCCGACCGTGCGAGGCACGAAACGCCTCAAACTGCTGCGACGTGAGGTAAAGGCCGTGGTTGTCGCGGTGGCCGGCGAGGGGGAGGCCGAAGCCCTTGATGGTGTAGGCGAGGAAGCATACGCGGCCGTCTGACTGGGCGGCGCGGTCAAACGCCTCGATCAGCGTCTCGTAGCAGTGGCCGCCCAAGTTCGTCATTAGGCGTTGCAACTCGTCGTCGTTGTACGAGTCGACCAGAGTTCTAAACGCACCACTGCCGAGCGAGTCCGCATCCGCCAGCAGCGCCGCCCGCCACGCCGCCCCCCCGGCGAAAGTGAGGGCGGAGTAGCGCGCATTCTCGCAGTGGTTAATCCACTGGCGCAGGCCCTGGCCGCCGGGGCGCTCGAAGGCGTCGCGGAGGCGCCTGGGGGAAGGAGGGGGCATTCGCGAGGTGCCTGAATGCGGGCAGGCAGCATATGGGGGCTCCTCTAGGCTCACCTCCCGAACTTGAGCGTGAGGACCTCCCATCCGTTGAGACGGAACATGCGGTCAATCACGCGAGAGGACTGGGGGCAAGGCAGGGCAGGTGAGCTGCACGATCTCGCCCCTCCCCGTCCGGCTGGCTATTTCTCGGCTACGTCTCGGCCTGGTCCTCCACAATCTTGTCAAGCGACTGGCGGTTGTAGTCGACAATCATCCACGTGTGCTTGGTGCCGAGCTTCCAGGTCTCCAAGAGCGCCTCGAAGACGTTGCCCTCATCGAGCTCCGCATCCCCTGTGGTCGCGGGTCGCGAAAACTCCTTGGAAGCTCATCGGGATCGCTCCCGCTTGTATCGCGCGCCCACAAGGACTATGGTCTGGATGTCACTCTCATCTCAGCTACAACTTGACCGACAAGGGCTATATGCCTGCCCGGCCGGTCGGGAACGACGCCCGTGCCGGGCCAAGCGGGCGGCACAAGCGACTTGCTGCGCAGGTACCCCTCGACCAGGCTAGTGGGCGGGAGGGAGGCAACGTCAGCGGGCGCTTCTCGTCAGTTCCTCGGACCGTAGAATCTCATAAGATGTGCCTTGTGAAGCAGGTGAGCGCTGCGCCGAGGCCGACGGAGCCGGTGGAGAGGTCGACCTCCGGAAGGTCCTTGGTGCGAGAAGGGTACGGCTGCACTCCGCCCAGCGCGCGAAAGCGCTGCAGATTGTCGCGCGACTGACGCCCCATGAGGTACATGAGCGCGTGGAAGACAGGACCGGCGTGCGGCTTCACCGCGACGCGGTCTTGTGGCTCCAGCACCTTGGTGTAGAGCGCAGTGAGGATCGAGACGGATGACGCACACGACGCCTGATGACCTCCAACTTTGAGGCCGTCGCGCTTTGGCCTATAGACCAACACCGCAGACGCACTCACTGAGTGGATTCTGCTGCGGGGGCAGGCGGTGTGGAGATTGCTGTCCTCTCGTTGTTGGCGTGGTGAATCATGAGCGAGGAGAGCCAGTTCACCCTTGACTCAAGCGCCTTCAATCGGGCGTGGGGACGCGGAAGGTCGGAAGCCGATACGAGACGATTGCCAGAGATATACTATTTGAGCGCCTGAAGCGCCCGCAGCTCCGAATGCGAGATGGATGGTGCAGCTGCTACCGCGGGTGGAGCAGCCGCCGCCGTGGCTGTGCTCACTCTGCGCGCGAGTTGCGAGGCAGGAGGTCTCGTGGCTCGCAGCAGCCTCGCCACCATGTGGATCTAGGCGATCGCCAACCAGCCTTTCCGACTTCCATCGAGTTACGTGCGTCCCTTGATTTGAGAGGTGTGAACTAGGCCCGCGGGTAGTCTCCCAAAATCCCCAGGGCCTCCAGGGCTCGCATACAAAATACGTCCTATGGCGCTGTGCGCTGGTCTGTGAGAGGTTGAGGTGTTCACATCAGCAGAGACGGTGAGTTCCAGATGCTCATGCCGGAGACGCGGCAGCCACCGCCGGCACCGGCTTGACGCCGAGGTGGTCCATGATTAGCCGAACGTCGCTCTTCAGCTGCGCGACCTGAGATTCGACGAGGATGGCGGCTTGAAGTCGCACCGCCCGCGAGTGAGGATTTCAGTCCTTCCCCGCACCTCTGTCCGCAGCCCGACGACCGCGTCCAAGGTCGCCTCCGCGCGCTGTATATTGCCCGTGTCTCCCCGCTGCTTCATGCGCATCTTGAGCTCCGCCACAATCTCGTCCACCTGCTCACAGCTAGGTTTGTGAAGATGCGCCGGCCACGCAACAGTACTCGTCCCTGCAGTCGCATTGACCAGGGCTTGGTTGCAGCCCCAGCCCGGGCAGATGGGGGCGTCCTGCGTACAAGTGCGCGTTGAGCAAGGGGTAGGCTTAGGATTTCACTCGCTAGGTGCGTGGGATGAGCCGACAGTCTCCGCAAATCTTAGTCAGACGGGAGCCTCAACTAGGCCGGGTTGTGCGGGTGAGCAGCGGCTTCCTTGGTCAGGCCCGATGTTACCCCGACGCAGCAGAGGCAGCTCGATTTATCGACGGAGCCGAGCTCACCGTACGGCCGGCGCGTGTTGACGTCACATGAGGAGCATTTCGTCTCGAATACGGCCTCCTCCCCTACGGACCGTTCTCGGAGGCTGATGCCTGGCCATGAGAACACGCACTACAAAGCGCAGCAGACCTTCGAGGATGAACCTCTTTTCACCAAGTACTCCAGGAACAAAAACCATGCAGTGCAGCGGGAACCTACCAGGCAAATCAGATGGTGGTTCCTGTTCCGGTCAGTCGTGGGTCGCATGTCCCACTATCTATCTCGTCAGAGTTTGACCGTTTTCATTCATTCCGGTCAGTCTGCAGTGAATTGCACATCTAAAAGTGGGCACGTCAGCCAGCAGAAGAGCTGCGCGCAGTGATCGGTCACGTCGTACTCCTTGTGTTCAAAGGTGGTCGCCTCACCGACTGCGATCGCTGCGCCACCCGTCTCCATGCTCGGGCGTCCAATTTCGCCAAATACATCTTCGAGGTCTCACGAGTTGCAGGCCGGGAATTTCACTCGCCGATTCTCGCTGCAATCTTCATGCCACCTCGCGGTCGTCCCACTCTCGTCGTTCTCTCCCTTGTCATTTCCTCCTCTGTCGCGTCGTTCTCTTCTGCCTCGTCCTGTGACGCCGCCGCCTGCCGGTCCCTTGTTCTCGCGGCTTCTTTCGCCTTTCGGCGCAACTCCGTCCTCCTCGCGGCGTATCCTGGCCCCTCGAGTCTATCGAGCTCCCCTCGCGCAAGGACCACATTTCTGACTCCCACTCCGATCATTTGCCTCCAAGTCATGTTGTTGCTCAGGTCCACTCTCTCTTCGAACACTCGTGCCTCTACGGATGATGCCGGCGCTGGGGTCCCCTTCGGATGCATCGTGACATCTGACAACTGGATTTCCACTGGTTCGTCCTCCTCGGAGTCATCTTCCCCGTCCTCCTTCCGCTCGGCTCTCCGCTCGGTACGTTCGGCGTGGCTCACCCTCCATGCCGTGAACACTCACTAAAACATTTCGACCGCAGTTTCTTCTTCTTTGCTTCTAGAGACGCGACGCGTGCGATGGTCTCTCGGCCGCGGCCTCTGCCTCCCCGTCCCGCCCGCATCGACGCTTCGAAACACCCCTCCACCGCCGCCTTCGCCGCCGCCTCCCTCTCCACGCGCCTCCTCCGAACTCCTCACCCCTCGTCACACCCACGCTGCACAGGCGGACAAGGTGCGGGAAGCAGCGCAGCGCATCTTTGCGAACCTGCCTTCGGGCGGCGGCGCGCCGATGGGAGCGCTCGGGCTGGGTGCGGTCGGGCTGACGGGCCTCGCCTACGGCTCCGCCAATTGCTTGTTTAACGTCGAGGGCGGCCACCGCGCCGTCATGTACCACCGGTTTGGCGGAGTGCAGCAGCGCGTGCGGGGCGAGGGGACGCACCTGGTGCTGCCGTGGTTCCAGCGGCCGGTGCTGTACGACGTGCGTGCCAAGCCGCGCATGATCCAGTCGCTCACCGGCAGCAAGGTCCCCTTCCGCCGGCGCACCTCTCGCCGCCGCTCGCTCGGCTGCAGCTCTGAACCTTCCCGGAACCGTCCTCCCCACAGGACCTGCAGATGGTCAACATCTCGCTGCGCGTCCTCTCGCGACCCGACCCCGGTGAGAGGGCGGTGGGGGGGGGGGGGGTTTCCCTCCGACACTCCCACTCTCCCGCCTCTCGGCCCACCACTCGAGTGGCATGCCCGGAGAGGCACCAAGTACTCGAGCCTGGCTGCAGCCTCGCTGCATCGGCCTCCCCGCCCCAGCCGCTCCCTCTTACCCGACTCTCCTCCCCAACCTCCTCCCCTCCCACCCCCCACCCCTCTCTCCCTCTGCCCTCCTTCCCTCTCCTCCTTCCAACCCCTCTCCTCTCCTCCCCTCCCCCACCCACCCCGCACCCCGGAGACCGCTCCTCCCACCACCCGGGAGATGAGCGAGATCGCAATCTCCGCAGGCTTCCTCCCCACAATCTACCGCGAGCTCGGCACCGACTACGACGAGCGCGTCCTCCCCTCCATCGTCAACGAGGTGCTCAAGTCGGTGGTGGCGCAGTACAACGCGTCGCAGCTCATCACGCAGCGCGAGGCGAGATAGAGCCGAGATGTGGCCGAGGTGGAGCCGAGATGCAGCGTCCCAGCTCATCGCGCATCGCGCGAGGCGGCCTCGCACACGCTCGGGCTCAAGCTGCAGACAGCCATGCTGTTCACCGGTGGTACACCGGGACTGCTGCTGTGGCACGACCTACTCTTGACCGGCATCGCTTGACGCGTGGCAGGCAGTCTCCCAGAGGATCTAATGTATGTATCTAATTATTGGCAGGCAGTCTCCCAGAGGATCAGGACGGACCTCCTCTCCCGCGCGCGCGAGTTCCACCTCGAGCTCGACGACGTCTCGATCACGCACCTCTCCTTTGGCAAAGAGTACACCGCGGCGGTCGAGGCGAAGCAGGTTGCGCAGCAGGAGGCGGAGCGAGCCAAGTTTGTCGTCGACAAGGCCAAGCAAGAGAAGAAGTCGACCGTCATCAAGGCGCAGGGAGAGGCCAAGTCGGCAAAGCTGATCGGCGACGCGGTGCGCGACAACCCCGGCTACATCCAGCTGCGCCGGCTGGAGGCGCGGCGTGTGGTAGGCGCATGCTAGTCATCGACCAGTCCTCGGTCATCCGTCATCAGCATCATTAGGCGGCGCGCGACGTCGCTGGCACGCTGTCCAAGTCGACTAACAAGGTCTACCTTGACACGCAGTCGCTGCTGCTCAACGTGAGCGCTAGTGGACGACGCCGGCTGCTCCACACATCAGCGCTGCTCCACACATCAGCGCTGCTCCACACATCAGCGCTGCTCCACACATCAGCGCTGCTCCCTCGCGTTAGCTGCTGCTCATCGATCCCTCACCCGCGAGTGCCGCCGCCGCCCGGCCGCGAAGAGGCGTGAACAAGAACCGTCCGGCGCTTAGGTGACCGATTCGCGCGACGTGCTGCTCGAGTCGCACACGAAGAAGAAGTAGCCACGCGGGAGCACGAGGGGGCGGGGCGGGGCGCCCGCTTCTCTGCGCGCGCGCGCCCGCCGCCCACAGCCTCTCCACTGCAGTCGACCATCTCCGGTTGTCTGCTTTGAGGGGGCGCGACGGGTGCGACGGCGGAGGGGCGGCGCCGCGAGGCGGAGGGAGGGGCGCGGCTTTGGCGCGGGGGCCGGAGGGGCCACGGGGAGAGCGGGGCGCCGGCGAGATGATGAGGTAAGAGGTTGAGGTATATTCGAGATCGAGCGGTTCGTTTTGAGAGCTCGCGGTGTCGTGCACCGACACGCTATGTGTTGTTATTATTGGTGCGGTAGTGGCAGCGCTGGAGACTGTGGAGTCTGCAGTGTGGATGTTCGCATCGCGGGCGGCAGTTTTTGTTCCTGGCTCCGATGCGCCCCCGCGCCAGCAGCCCCCCGCGCCTCTTCTCGCGCCCCTCGCCAGGACGCCACCGTCCACACGCTCCACAGTACGCGCCCGCAGAGGCAGAGTCTCAGCTGTGCGCGGTGCGCGCCATATCATCGAGGCGCAGGCGGGCGCGAGCGCCGCCGCGCTGCGCGTGGCGGAGGAGCACGCTGCACGGCTCGCGGAGCAGCCCGAGTGGCGGGATCCTCTCCGAGGTCCTCCTCTCGCCGGACGTGGGAGGCCGCGCGGTGGCGCCGACGGCGGTGGCTCGGAACCAGCCCCGCGTGCCGGTGCTCGATGGGAAGCTGTACGTTGTGGGCGGGTACGACGGCGACACGGGTAACTCATCCAGCTCGGTGGAGCGGTACGACCCCGCGACTAATGCGCGTGCGCGAGGCGGTGTGGCGGCGCTCGCCCCAACGGCGCGATTTGATCATCCTGGCATTGTCGTGGCTTAGAGGGGCGCAGTCTGTACTCTTTATTCGCTTCTCGAAGGCAGCAGAAACCCTGACAGTAGATCTAAGATTCCTATCGCCACGGGTGGCTCTACACTTGGCTCTACCGCCTCCCCTTCAGCGCGACGCCAATCCCGACGCCGACCACGAGCGCGAGGCCTGTGGAGGCTGCCGCGGCCGCCACAGACACGCCCGAGCCCCTTGCGCCAAGGTGGGCGTAGTACGCCTCGGACTTCTCGCCGCCGCGAGGGGACGAGGTCGAGCGCGTTGGGCTCTTCCGCACAGTGGGTGCCGACGACGAGCGGCGCGGAGCAGCGTCGTCCGACTCCTCGGCCACGGGCGGCACGCCGCCAGCTCGGCAGACAACGTCGAGTCGGATTCGGTCCGAGAGGAAGGTGAGCACTGTGTTCTCGAGCATGTCGTCGATGGTGCCGAGGACGAGCGCGTACAGCGTCGTGTGCAGCTGCGCGAGCATCTCGCGCTTCATCGGCTCCACAAACCAACGGTACAGAGGGTTGGAATCCTGTTGCGGCACCCCGCCGGCCTCGCGAGCGTAAGCCGCCACCGCCGCCAGGTTGACCGGTGTGAGCGAAAGTGACACCTTCTTGACACGCTCACGGAGGTCCGACCCCAGCGAGGAGCGGCGCTCGTCGTCCTTCCGAACGGGCTCAAACACGAGCTTTAGATCGTGGCCACAAACGGTGATGCGCAGCGTGGTGGTGAGCGCGTCGAGGAGGCGGAAGAGGAGCTTCAGGCAGTTTATGTAGAGCTGCCGCTCCACGAAGTCAGGCACCAGCGGCTGATTGACGGCTCGGTTGGCTAGCAATCGCTCCGCCATCCGACCCAACTCCTCGTTGTCGAGCGAGCCAGTCAGGCTGGCGAGTGCATTGGAACGCCAAGAAGCCTTCTCATCGCCCTCATCCTCGATCCGCTGCATCAGCAGCTTGTGGCCTGCGAGGATCTCCTTGCCGTGCACCGTCGATATGCCCCAATATATAGTGTTGAGCGCGAGGCGGACAGTCGATAAATAGATTTGCCGTTCAATCACGTCAGGGATGGCACCGATGTTGAGCTCTTTGTCGTTGAGGATCTCGTCGACGAACATCTCGACCATCTGCTCGGAGACCCCGCCCGGCCAAAGTGGGTTGGGCGGCATGGTGGCAAAGAAGTCCTCGGGCCGCTCTCGAATCGCTTGGGCCGCCGACTGCCGCTGGACTGCGCTCCCGGCGAGGCTGGACTGCGCGGCCGAGCGCCGTTCAGAGACCCTTCGCTTCTCGGCCTCGACGCTAGCCGCCTTGGTGCGCGGCGACTTTTTCTGTCCCCAGCTAAAGTGGGAGATGCGGACCGTGGGCGAATTCATCGGGAAAGTCGGGAAAGTGAGGGGGGTAGCGCGCGCGAAAGTCCGTCGCTGGAGGGACGACCTCTCCGAAAAAAGATCGGAAACGCGCATTGAGCACTTGAGCACTGGATAGGGTCGAATCCGCATGGTACGGGACCCCTCGAACGCGCATTGTTGTTCCAGTATATGTGTAGGTCGTCAGCTGTCACGATGCACCCGAAGGGGACCCCAGCGCCAGCATCATCCGTGGAGGTACAAGTGTTCGAAGAGCCAGAGTGGACCTGAGCAACGATATGACCTGGCGGCAAATGATCGCAGTGGGCGTCAGAAGAGTCGTCCTTGCGCGAGGAGAGCTCGATAAACTCGAGGGGCCAAAATATGCCGCGAGAAGGGCAGAGCTGCGACGAAAGGCGAAAGAAGCCGCGAGAGCAAGGGAGCGGCAGGCGGCGGCGGCGTCGCAGGACGCCGAGGCAGAGGACGAGAGGAGGGCGACGCGACAGGGGAAGAAGCGACAAGGGAGAGAACGACGAGAGTGGGGACGACCGCGAGGTGGCATGAAGGTTGCAGCGCGAATCGGCGAGAGACTGCGAAGAGAGCGGATAGGAAGACGAGGCGGACGCCCCGAAGGGTGGGCGCGACGGCTAGCGCATCACACCCTCTCCTTATATAAAATCCCTGTGTGGTGGCGGCGTGCCGTCCTCCCATCCCTCCCTTGGGTTGTCCGTTTTCTTTCTTTCTTTTATATATGTAGCTATGAACATTTGCTTTGTTCCACTACCTCATTCTTCGTTCCCGACACCACCGGCGCCTTGCCTCCAATGATTTGCCCAGCTTATCTATCCCTGCAAAGTGCCATCGCCAGTAGGCATACCGTGAGCAAGGAGCGTATGCAGCCAACAACTCTCCCTCAGCCTTCGAGCGATTGCGCCTCGCCACGTCCTTTGCCGTGGCGCCCAGCAAGTGCACATGTGCATGTGCATGTTGTGCACGGCAAAGGACACCGGAGGGTAAGGTTGTGAGCCCAATCTTCCGGCCGACTTCGAGGAGAAACTCGTTGAACGCGGATAGAGGAGCGACAAGGTCAATTCGCTCCAAGACACGCCGTTCCCACGACGCGACCTGGCTCGCACATTGTTTTGAGCACGCTCCAACCTGGCTGCATTCCGTCGCCTCGTCTCGCGAGGAAGAGCTCTCGCCGGGCAGCTCGACGAGCGGAGTCCGGTCGCCCTCGAATAGTTTGGTGAGGTCCTCGCCGCTGATGCCAGCGCGCGAGGCTTCTCGCCGCCACACGTTCCAAGTGTTAGGGTATTGATCAACGCGCCACCAGGGGTCGGCGCCGAGCCGCTGTGCCCATTCGAGCGCGGTCGTATTTGAGCGAGATCCGAAGAAGTTGTGATGTGAAGCCGTCTGCGCTGCCGGCTCCCGCACGAGCGCAGCCGTTAGGACGGAGCAATGCGACCGCTGCTCCCGAAGCGTGCGCTTCAACCGGTCAACCAAAATCAGATGCTGTGCTGGCGGAAGTCCTCCCTAGTGGTGCTCCATGTACACTCGTGGAAATGCTGCCCGGACCGAGGGGTCGGACCACGCTGAAAGGTTATTGCCCGTGTATGTCGGCCACGGGAACAGCGCTGGCTGCCCACAACCAGGCCCTCGGCACTGTGGCGAGAGGTGGCGATGAAACAGCGTCCGTATCTCCGTGCCGCCGCATTTCGCAAAGTGGTAATGCACGAGGAGGACGCAGCGTTCGACGGCAATCGGGGCGACCGACACAAGGTGGAGCACAACAAGCATGTTCGTTGCTCCTATGCATCCGCCGAGAGAAACTTGCGGGCGCGTGTTTCCTCTCCCCTAGGCTTCTCTGTCTCTGAAGAAAGAAAAGAAAGAAAAGAGCAAAGAAAAGAAAGAAAACGGACACCAAGGGAGGGATGGGAGGACGGCACGCCGCTACCACACAGGGATTTTAAGGAGAGGGGTGTGGTGCGCTAGCCGTCGCCCACCCTTGGGCGTCCGCCTCTTCCTATCTCTCTTCGCAGTCTCTCTCCGATTCTCGCTTCAACCTTCGTGCCACCTCGCGGTCGCCCCCTTCTCGTCGTTCTCTCCCATGTCGCTTCTTCCTCTGTCGCGTCGCTCTCCTCTGCCTCGTTCTGCGCCGCCGCTGCCGCCTGCCGTTCCCTTGTTCTCTCAGCTTCTTTCGCCTTTCGGCGCAGCTCCGCCCTCCTTGCTGCATATCATGGCCCCTCGAGTTTTGTTCGAGTCTATCGAGCTCTCAGAAAGAAAGAAAGAAAACAGACACGCCAAACGAGGGATGGGACGAGGACAAGGTCCCCACCTGCACGAGCAGGATTTTGGAAGGACGATCAGGGGGACAGGTATCGAGCTCTCAGAAAAGAGACAACCGGGCCCTTTGTTTTCTTTCTGCTCCGCGCCCTGATATCGCTTGCGCCATTACTCTTCGATGCAGTGGGCGACGTCGGAGGACGCCATACTCCACGTCGAGAATTCGCGAACCGCGGTCGCCATCCTCGGCGTCAATCCGAGCACCTGGACAGAGGCGGACGTCGGCCAAGCGTACCGCGCTCTCGCCAAGCTCCTCCACCCCGACCGGAGTTCAGCAGAGGCGGGGAGATCGCAGGCAGCCTTCCAGAAGGTGCACGAGGCGCGTGGCGCGCTCAAGTCCATCGTCGCGCGACGCGCGCCGCCTCCGCCACGGCCAGCTCCGCCCGCCCCGGCACAGCAGCCGCGGCCCGCAAAGCGGGCGCCGGCCAGCAAGCCGGCAATGGCGGGAAAGCGCGCCAAGTTGGCGCCGCAGAAGGCAGCTCGGCCTCCAGAGCCATCGCCGAAGCGGGCCAAGCCGGCGGCGCAGGCGCGGCCGCCGCAGTCACGGCAGCCGCAGCCGCAGCGCCGCAGCGCGGCGGCGGCGGCGGCGAAGCCAAAGGCGGCGGCGAAGCCAAAGGCGGCGGCGGCAAAGCCAAAGCCGGCGCCCAAGCCGGCGCCCATGCGGCCGATCCCGCACCGGCGCTGGATCATTTCGAGTGACGAACTCGTCCTGAATAGGCGAGGCGTCAGGAGCCGGGGCTCGGCGCTGCGGAGGCGGCGCTGCTGTCCCAGCTGCTGGCGGCGGTGCAGCGCTTCAAGGAGGAGAAGAGTGCCGCCGAGGCGACGGTGGGCGTGGGCGAGGAGTGGGCTGTGCACTGGAAGCCGCGCAAGAAGGCGGTCTGGTCGGGGTCGGGGTCGGGGGGCGACTTTTACGCCTACCGCCTCGCCTCGCCCGACCGCACGTACCGCTCGCGGCCCGAGCTTGTGCGGGCGCGCGAGCTGCCCCCCCACCCCCCCCCCCACCCAGCCACCCACCCACCCACCACCACCACCACCACCAC